AAGAAGAAGAAGAAGAAGAAGAAGAAGAAGAAGAAGAAGAAAAAAAAGAATGTGATCAATTTTCCTGTGCTGTGAAGGAAAGTGATCCAAAGCAGCCAGTGTTTAATCTCTACTGAGCCTGGAGGTTTAAACATTTAAATTCAGAAGTTTAGAAAGAAAACATGAAGACTATTCAACAGATGAAACCAAACAGATGAGATGCAGGCATCTCACATTCTACCTTCTTGGAATCCTCTGCCCACCACCACAGAATGGCTGTGTGCACCCATTTCATCCTCTACCCTGAAGACAAGGTAGGTCCCAGACCCTAAGGTACACTTGGCCTCAGACAAGAGGGACTTAGCTGGCAAAACAGACATTGTACAGGGAGAACTTCAAAGGGTGGGTGTACATGTTGGTGGGCAAAGAAACTAGAAACAAGCTCTGCTTGCTGGGTTCTGCGGCATGAGAAAATGAAAATTTGCACTCACCTGGGAACATGTCTGTCTTGCCTATATGCCTACATGCTGAGTTCATTTCACTTGAGTAGTTTGGTTGAGTCACGCAATAATTGAATTTCATCTCACGGTAAGTTGAGTATTATTAATATTTAATCATATTAAAATTTGAGGCATATTAAGATTTGTCCTTTCACCAGACGATTAGTAAAAGTAGAGTATTACTAATGAATATAATTATACCCCAAAAAGAGCAAGTTACCAGTCAAAATGAAACAAGTCAATGAATGCTTTATTTTGTGTTGTGTTTTCTCAGTGATCTGAATAACAGGCATTTCATTGCATATCTGTAGTTGTAAAGGTACTGAAGGGTTTAGCAAAGTTCAAGCCTTTGTATTTTTCCCTAAGTAGAACGTTACCATTTATTATCATTTACTTAATATGGGTTTTACAGATTTATGTAGTTTTGTCTGGATCAAATATGTCCACAGTTGGACCTAAGGCAAGTATTTATTTCTTTCCCTTTTCACTGGCTTTTCAAGAAATAAAACAGGTAAAATTTGAATTTCAAACTTGATGTCCGACAGTCCAAGGTTTAAATCTATCTCATCATGGCCTACCTGGATACCTCAATTGTTCCAATTCTTTAGTTCATTCATTTCTAAAATGGGAACACATACCTGGCAACTCTCAGGGCTAGATTAAAGCTTAGCAGGGCCATATTTGAGCCTCTCATATCAACAACTGATACTGGACGGATACAACTCTTTCAGATGCAAAACATTTAATTGGTTCAGAATCTATCTGGGTTCAAGAGAGTTTTGCTCTAGGTCCCTTAAATCTCACCACTTAAGAAAACCCCGAATCCTCAAGAAGCATGTGGAAGCTTACCTCCGCGGCATACCTCACTCCGTCCACCATGTGCTCAGAACCGTGGTCATCAGCTGCCCCCCAGTGAAGGTGGAACTGTCGTAACCGGTAGCTCCCAGTGAGAGGACCCCCACACAGAACTGAACACAGCACATTTTAAGTGGTTATTAGGAAAACAATTGCACAATCTCTTTATTATTCAACCCACTCATGTCCTCCAAGGAAGTTTTAACAAATGTGTTATTTAATTTTCTGACGGGAATGCAATTTCAAGTAAAAGAGAAGTAGATGTGCAACACTTCTAAGGTTTGGAGGGTCCATAATGTAGATTTTTATGGAAAATTACAACAAGCAGAAGAGACTAGGAATTTTGAAAGATAATATAATTGCTGTTAAAGTGAGCCTCTGTGAATAAGGATAAGCCATGTTGAGAGGCCTAGGGGGACTTTGGTAGGCAGGCCAGCCAGTGCTTCAGTTCCAGGGCCCAGGTGTCAGCAATCAGAAGACCAGAGCTTAGTGAGGCATGGTGGTGCACACCTGTAATTTCAGCACTCCTAGGAGCCTGGGGCAGGAGGATCACAATTTCAATCTCAGCCTGGAAAATTTAGTGACTTGGTGAGCCCTGACTTAATGGGGATAAAGCTCAGTCCAAAGGCTCTGAGTTCAATCCCCAGGACCAAAAAAAAAAAAAAAAAGAAAGAAAGAAAGAAAAAGAAAAAGAAAGAAAGAAAGAAAGAAAGAAAGAAAGAAAGAAAGAAAGAAGTCAGAAGTTCACATTCTCTGTTAACAACTTGCATGGTCTTGGACAAAATCTATCTTCTAAACTTTAGCTTCTATGTCTAAAAAGTGGAGCAAGTAATGGCACTTTCTCTAGCATTTCCATGAAAATGAAAAATTAAATCATATGGCCTCCAAATTGGTTAATAATAATCCACCTTATATAAGAAAAATTAGGCTACAGATTTCCTTAGACTTAAAAATGGCCACTTTCAAAGTACTCTGCAAAGTAAAAGAAGAAACCCACTTCGATCAGACACAAGGACTTGTCCTACATTAATTTGTTAAAACAGAATGATTTCACTATATCTTCTCCCACAGGGCAGTGCCTGTAGGAGCAGAGATCGATTCCCTACTATCTCCACCAGTTAGCGCAGTAACCATTTCAGAAGATGAACAAATGAATAAAATATGTGTCTTTAAGCAGTTTCAACATGATCGTCAGATAAGTTCATTTAAAAGGTACATTTCCCTAGGACACATCCCTAATCTGTATCGATTGAGAGTGGAAGAACTTCTAAAGAAAATCAGCAGCTTATGATATTTTTTTCGTTTGCAAAACCTGAGCAGAATTATAACATTGTTCTTGGGTTTAAAAAAAAAAAAAAGATTAAAAAGCTTGAGAAATTAATGTGGAATTGACTTTGGGAGAAGATGTAAGCAAGCTGACTCTGGGTAAAGAGATACAAAACACACACTGTTAAGGAGCCAGCCAAGAAGAATGGCTGATCTCTGGATGGCCTGCTCTGAGTCCGGCGCGCTGTCAGATTAGCATGCGTTCTGCTTAGTTAAGCAACAGGCTGTCTTACGTGTTCCATATGTAAACTGCACATTTAAGGGTGTCAAGTAAAATGTCCCACTTGGGATTATGACTGTGATTAACTGTAAAGTGGATCATTCCCTGAAAGAGGTGCTCTTCCAAAAATACACATGGTAAGGAAAAGTAAATTAATATATCAAACTGTGACAGCAACTATGAGATGGCCTATGACAAAACACCTAGACTGCAGTGCCAAGCTAATAATGTTAGAGACATTTTTTTTTTTTTCTTGGCGAAACTGGGGATTGAACTCAGGCCCTTGTGCTTGCCAGGCAAGTGCTTATTCTACTGAGCTATCTCCCCGGCCCCCCAAAAAATTATTTTTAATGAAAGTTATTTCATGTTTTCAAGTGTTGATAGTCAACCTAATTTCCAACCTCGTTAATAAATATTGTCTCCATTTTATGCTTAATAACAAGGGATCATTTCTCCAAAGTCATACTTGACATATATGATCTGTTTACTCTTTCATTCACAATATCTTAAAAAAGGCTATTTCAAATGATATTTGTGTATAAGAGTTACACAGAGATTAAGAAAGCAGAGTTAAATTTCATAAAAATCTAGTCACAACTATTATCAACAGGGAGCCTTTAGCTCAGTGGAAAGAGGACAGTCCTGAGATAGGACAAGCCTAGGATGACTTAGGAGCCAGAGCAGGGGTGGCACAACCAGTTGGGTGAAGTCCTCAAAGATGTGACATCCTAAATCCAGAAATACCAGTAGCTGGGGCATGAACTGTCTTGCCTTTCCTCATTGGATTATGATTTCCTTCACCAGACTATTTCCTATACAGTATTCAGTAAACGATTTCCTGTATCTTCCTAAAGAATTTTACATCCACCTACTCCCTTTTATAACACTATGAGAATTCTGAAGTGGTTATCTTCTGGTTAACCATGGGGTGTGCCCCTGCCAAGAAAAGCAAACCCTCAAAGGATTAGGGGAAAGATTTCACTGTGATGTGTTGACTGGCATATTCAGAGTTACTTCTGGTCAAGAACAGGGAGTTAGACTTTGTGGAGATGAGAAAGGCTTCTGGGAATGGGGGAAGATTGGAAGGAGGGGAGGGGGAGATAAACTAAAAAGGATCAAAGTCTGATATCATATGCACTCATGCCCCAGAACAAACACACAGTATTTATTATGCATCACAAACAAAAGACGTACCAGTAAAACATTCTCCTAAAAAAAGTATGGCTTCTTTACAAAATGGAGACTGTCCTATTCAAATGAGTTTACTAGATAACATATCATGTCTGCATCTTGTTCTCTGAATAATTAACACGAAAAAAACAATATGCAACGTATTAATTATAGCAACTGTCCTACTAACCTGTTTTGAAACTTTCATATTTTATCTTTTTTCTCATTAAGATGAATAAAAATAAATAAGTTTACTAGTTTTCAAATTAGATATTAGTTTTAGATAACAGTTTTGGTATCTTTGTGCTTTTTATAGTTTACAAAAAAAATTAAAAAAAAAAAAGAAAAGAAAAATGGGAGGGCCAGTGAGATAGCTCAGTGGACTAAACGCCTGCTTTGGCAAGCTCAGGGACCAGGTTTGATCCCCAGTCCCACATACTGAGCCAGCCCCATCCCCAGGGTGTGTTGAGCCAGCAACCAAGTCCAGGCATGGTGGTGCATGCTTGTAATCCCAGTGCTGGGGAGGCTGAAAATAGGAGGAGCACTATGAGTCCGAGCTGCGTAGTGAGACCCTGCACCAAATACATACATTTTCTTCCACTGTAAGTGTCTATATTTATAAAGAAAAGATTGGAAGTTTTAGATGAGGGACAATCTAATCATTCATTACTCTAAAACTAAAAGTGAGTAGCCCCAGGTTTTTTAAAAATCATTTATTTATTTATTTTGTACAGGGTCTTGCTACACAGCTGGGACTCATAGTGATTCTCCTATCTCATCCTCCCCAGCACTGGGATTACAGGTATGTGCTACCTGGTTTTGGTGGCCAGCTTATAGCGGGCCTGGCACGGCATGTGATACTGGGGATCAAATCCAGATCCTTGTACTTTCCAGGAAGGTGCTTAGACCACTGAGCTATCTGCCAGGCTCGACCTACATTTTTTAATGTCTGAGACATTATACACAGTATCAAACAATAGTTACAGGTACTATAAATGTTGTATTTAGAGGCTTTGGACTACTTTTACAAGGCACTCATGATATTAGCTACATCTAAACACCTGGAGGAAATACAATTGAATATATATAAAAAAACCAGATCCCCCCCTTCCCTTAAAAAAAGTTGAGAACATCATGCATTAATTTCTTTTTATGGATTTTTTATAATGCTCTAATAAAATGTATCACTCTTACAAATTTGATGAATATGACAAAAGAATCTGTCTAGGTTTACAATTTTTGCTAGTAATGGTTCTACATATAGACTGTTTTGAGCTTAATATGTGTATGCAAACTTCCAGCGGACTTTTTAAGTTTAACTACATTTTTTCATTAGGGCATTTTTTCATTTCATTATAAAACATAATTTGTCAAAGCCTTCAAACATCTTCCAAACTATGATTCTGTCTAATCTTTTCTCTCACCTCATCTCATGCAAACATGAGATTTTGGGCAGCATCTAGACTTGGACAGTGTGTATGCTTAAAGAAAATATACTCCAATGTTCATTTTAAGAAAATACTGGGGCCAGGGAGATAGCTCAGTGGAATAAGCGCTTCCCTGGCAAGCACAAGGTCCTGAGTTTGATCCCTGGTACTGCAAAAAAAAAAAAAAAAAAAAAAAAAAAAAAAAAAAAAAAAACCTGTTTTGTTCAAATTAGTTAGAAAATGAACTAATAGGCTATTCTGACTCCTCACAGCAGCACATTCTGTCTTTTATCCTTTCTGCTCTTCGTTCAGCCCAAGTTCACTCTGCAGAACTAGTTTTTCCCTTAGCCCAGCACCCCTCACTGTAGGCACCATTAAAAGATTCAACAAATGAACTAAAGTTTTATTTGATGCCTTCATTTATCTATTTCCATTATTGATTCACACCGTCCCATGGGAAAAAATCAAACAACTTTTACTACAAGTCTAACAAATTAGTAAGGATAGATGTTTCAAATATCCCTTTTAAAAACAAAGCATGTGCTCTTTCTTCTTCAGGTCTACTGTTACAAGAATGTTATTTTAAGAAGTAAAATATCAGATCTATATATTTTAGCCTAAGAAAGATATCCATGTATTCATTTTCAAATATGAAAAAGTTTCAGAGTGAAGTGTTAGTCCAAAATTATTTTAAAAAATAAAAATCAAAACGACATGATATATATGTAGGTATCCATGGCTAAACATTTAAGTACTATGAAAGAATATAGCATTGGTTACATGGGGAGAGATTATAGGGGAAGACTTAATTTTTATCATAATTTTTATATTTTTATTGTAAATATATATCACCTCTGCAATTAAAATAAGAGAATATGATATTTTAAATATATATATATTTTTCAGACTGGTGAGACAGCTCAGCAGACTAAGCAGCTGCTTTGGCAAGCACAGGGGCCAGGGTTCAATCCCTGGCACCACATGCTGCATTGATCCTGCCCCCAGGTGCGCTGATCGAGACCAGGTGTGATGGCACACACCTGTAATCCCAGTGCTGGGGAGGCTGAAAACAGGAGGATCTCTATGAGTCTGACCTATGTTAAACCACCAGCTGGCACCATAGGTTTGCAAATAAACATTAAAATAACTATGACTAAAAATTTTCAAAACCCAAATTAAGAAATACTATTGGGCTGGGGAGATGGCTCAGTGGAATAAGCACTTCCCTGGCAAGCACAAGGGCTGGAGTTCAATCCCCGGTTCCGAAAGAAAGAAAGAAAGAAAGAAAGAAAGAAAGAAAGAAAGAAAGAAAGAAAGAAAGAAAGAAAGAAAGAAAGAGAGAGAGAGACAGACTACTAAGCTTCAAAATTTTCATAGAGATTCATACCAAGTAAAGTTACAGTGTGCTAAAAGCAATTTTAAAATACTATCCATCATACCCTTTTATAAATACTCCTTTGTAGTACTTCAAAGTAATGTATTTGAAGTTCCAAATATATAACTGGACATCTTGATTCATGTGAAGAAAAGAAATATCTTAATTCAGCAAATTCCAAGTTTACTATTAATAAAATACAAAACAAAAAAGAGTAAAGTCTAATTATCCAAATCATTCCCCAAAAAAGTAAAAGAATGAAAGAAATGCCAACCTGATTTGTCTTCTGTGTCGTCAAAGTCAACACTGAAGGAGTGGCCACTGTTGCTGATGATTTTAGCTGAGCTGGGGTCATACTTGATGCTCAGAGGTCGGAGGGAAGAGTCGTATTTCACTTCTTTGGTTTTAATCTCAATAGGAGATTGCTGATCACCATCAGCAACAGGGAAAAATTTATTCCAATGAATAGGACCTTGAGAGTATAAGACCAAGCGAAAAGGACTGCGTTACTTCACTCGGCAAAAACTGAGTGCACAGCACAGTGTCTGAGACTGAAGAAAAATGGCAAAGATGAATAAAATATAATCCTCACTCTCAAGATTTTCACACCTATTTTTTTTAAACAGACCTATTTTTTTTTCTTTGTGGGTATGACCATATGCTTTGTCTTAAATTATTTTCAGAATTAAACTAACTCACCAAAAGAAAAGAGCATGTAAATTGTTATAAAGTATTTTACAGAGGGACCCACTTACCAAACCAAAAACAACAGCACAATTCATCTCTGAAAACAAAGGCATTCAGTCTCAGATCCAGAAATGCGCTCTGGTTGTTCCAGAGGCCAGGTTGACAGGGTTGACAGTCAAAAAGCAGCTAAGAAGCTCAGTATCAGAGAAAGAGTGTCAGTCTAAAGCAATCCTCAGTATTTTTTTCTTCTACCATTCACTGCAATTTTCTGGTGTCACTTAGGCCTCAACGCCACTGTGATGTGCGATCAACACCCCACGGTCATACATGGATCTTTCACACAAGATAATCCACACAAATGGATTACACACCTTGCCATGGCTTGACACAGCAAGATGTGTAATACTGTTAGCTACCTGTAGTGGAATTGGTTGCAAGATACTTCTCTCTCTACATTTCAGAAGGTCCTACAGGGGCTATTTTTATCATTTCTATATTTGAATTCCAATACAAGGGACAACTGTCACCTTAAAGAAAAAATTTCATGAAGTTCACAAAGCAGAGTCCCACAGGCAAACTGAAAAAGGACAAAAAGCTGCCAGTTCCCTTGCCCACCCTCTTGATTTCTCTGAGAGAGTATATTGAGGCTCTGCTTCTCAAAACCAACAGCAAGACTGCACCTTCATGCCTATTCCATCTTTCTAAAGATGTGAAACTCTTTAGTTCTCACTGCTATGCCTACAATTTATGCAGCTATCACCAGATGAGCAGTGTCTAAGAAGGCTGACTAAGGTTTTCCCTACGTCGATAACCCCTTTTTCTAAGCCAGGTACTAATTAAAGCAGCAGAGCAGGACAACTGTTAAACATCTGCTACTAAGGAAAATAAATATATCACCTCTAAAATGCTGCTTTTTAACTCTTCACTCTTGAAAAGGAAAAAGCATACACTGTTTTACATGTATTTAAGCTACAAAAAGTCACAGCAAGGATATCGAACTATGTATTCACTTTTAAGAGTTGTCCAGTTGTGAACCTGACATTGTGGACTTCAAAGCAACTTGAGAATAACATTGTAGAAAAGACACTACTACATTTCCTTATTTCTGCTTTTATTTTTGGGGGGAGAATGATTCGGAGACCATTCTATTCAAATTGGTTTACTTGGTGAGATATCATGTCTGCATCTTGTCCTCTGAATAACTAACATGAAGACAACAATATGTAATGTATTTACTTTTTTGAGTGCACTTTCTGTATACAGTATTGAGCTTTCTACTTCACTGCCGCCAAGTGCGAGTTACCCTAATCAGAATCAGATTGCAAGTCCACAAAGCCCGTGTCACAGCATGCTGTTGGCTTCTTCATGATCACCAAAGATCTTCTTTTCCAACGCTCCTTCCACCAGAGCGCCAGTCCTCCTACCATTCCTAATGCCTTCCAAATGAGCGTTCCCAGTCCTTTACGCATATAATTACTTTTAGAAGTGACAAACCAAACTAAAATAAAAGCAAACCTACTTTGTATCAAATGCCCAATATTATCTATTAGCCACCATACAGGGTTTCTGACTCTTAAAAGCGGTCCCCTTTTGTAAATTTCCCCAAACATTCAGCTTTCAACCCACTTAATATACCTAGTTCTTTTTTTCTTTTGCCAACTCAGCCCACTCTGAAGGTGGGGCTGGTGAGGCATGTGGTGCCCAGGATCAAACCATGGTCCCCTGCCCCTGCCTAAGCTTGTCTAAGCAGGTGCTTTAGACAGCTGAGCCATCTCACCAGCCCCATATACCTAGTTCTTAAGAAGAGACAGTTCCTTGGTTAATTCAGGAACTTCTGAACATCCAAAACATATATAATATCTAATAGACATTATACTAACATCTAATAGATAATATATTATATATCATCTATTATTATATATTATATATTACGTAATATATGAATTATATTGTATGATTTATTATGCAATATCTAAATTATATTGTATAATATATAATTTACATTTCATATTATATTATATTATATATTATATATTATATATAAATTATATAATATAATATAAATTTTCTTGTTTGATTTATTACATAATATACAATTTTATTATGTAATTTTTCATATATAATATATACGTTTTATTATAGACTTTATTATATGTAATAATTTATAAATTATTATATGTAATATATCACACACATACATTCACATTGCCTAATCCAAACTAATACAATACAAAGATCAAAGGTCAGTGGAAGAAGTTCCAGGCTGTGTGAGATAGCAGCCATCCAGGCCTTGGCCTCTTGAGGTTCCTTTTGATCTGTGCTGAAAGCACTAGCCGAAGCTTCTTCCTTCAATCTGCTCAGTCATTGGTTTGGTTAATGTCTAAAGAGATAAAAAGTAATAAAACTTCCCTCATCGGGATGCAAATACATTGCTGCAGAATTTTGCCAACCTTAATCCACTTAAAGGTATGGTCCTGACAAAACTACTGAATCTAAAAGGAAGGAACAGCCTAGCTGAAAAGAAGCTAAAAGGAGGTCCTAGCCAAAATACAAAGTCACTTCTTGGTAATGTCTTTTTGAAATGAACTTTTTAAATTTCTGAAGATGACTTTCATTGCAGCCAATACTTTCTAACCTACTAAAGTTTAATCAATATGTATTGATAGTAATGTTTTTTCCTAAGCTCAGAGAGGATACTATTGGCTCCTAATACTTAAAAAATATATTCCAAGCCATGTTTGATAATATACACTGTGATTACAGTGCTGAGAAGGCTGAGGCAGGGTGATCACAAGTTTAAGGTCATCTTAAACATCTCAGTGAGACTCAGTCTTTTAAAAAAAAAGTTAGGGGCTGGAGAGATAGCTCAGCAGTCAGTCTAAAGCACCTGCTTAGACAAGCTTAGGCAAAGCACAAAGGCCATAGTTCCATCCCCAGCACCACATGCTGTGTCAGCCATGCCCCTAGGGTGAGATGAGCCAACTATAAAAAAAAAAAAAAAAAAAAGGTTGGGGAAATACTTCAGCGGTAAAGCACCCCTGGGGTCTGATCCACAGGACCATAAAAATAAAACAAAGAAAATGGTGCCTGTAGAAAAGAAAATAAAAGTTAATTTTGTTTCTCCAAAACACAAGTTAGAATTTAACAAAATGTAAGGTTAAAATAGCAGCCTGTTAATAAGAAATTCATCTAAATGATATCTTTCATTATTAAAATTCTAAATTTCATCTGTTATCACTTTTAAACTAAGCTGTTCATATTCATAACTTACATTCCTTTCTAATACCTTTTTAATGCCTTGTAAATGAATGTTTCTATTGCTTTACAAATATAATTGTTTTTCTCTTTCTTTCTTTTTTTTTTGTACTTTAGGGAAGGGTCTACAGGGTGTTCAGAGTCTCACCACTAGATCCGACTCTTAGTGATCTGCTTGTTTACAGCCTCCAAAGAGCTGGGATTACAGGTGTGTGCCACCACACCCAGGCTCAATTGCCAGCTCAGTGAGCCCCAGGGGCAGGGGTGATATGGCAGGCCCAAGGATAGAACCCCCAACCCCTGCACCTGCTTGCAGGGGCTTCAATCCACTGAGCTATTTGGCCTACCCTTATAATTGTTTTTAGAAGTGCTAAACCAAATTAAAATCAAACAAGACTAGTTTGTATCAAGTGCCCAATATATTATGTATTAGTCATCACAGACGGCTATGATTAGAAATGGAACTTCTCTTCTTGTTCTCAGGAGGATGAGGCACGAAGACCTCAAGCTCTAAGCCAGCTTGGCATGACCTAAAAACCAACAAAAAGAAAATTGTTTCTTTATGAAAACGAAGTTTTTGTACCATTTTATGTACAGTAATATTTTGCATGCTAATTGAAGTTTTATTACTGTTATTGTTCACAACCCTCAGTTTGAAAGTCATGCACTGTAAAGCTTTCTTGATGTTAGTTTGCAACTACTTTGAATAATCATTACTCAACTGAGTATACAAATAAGAGAAAAAGTTTTACTACTGATCATTTAGGATATATAAAAGACGACTGTCATTACTGTCATGCCTATCAAAAATATAGTTACCATTGCATTGTAATTTCAATAATTCTTTACCAGCCCTCAGTCTCTGCAAGGATGAACGTAAGAAGAGAACAGTGGAGAGGTCCAACAAATAAGTTCACTTCCAGAAAGAAGCCAAGGCCTTGTTCCAACACCCACTAAGAAAATTTTAGTTCTGTTTGGGTTGCCAAGCAGCCAGTTTAATCTTTGGTGTCCATCTGCAACTCATTAGGACTTCTCAAAGGGCTTTGCGATGCTTTTCCATGACCTGCTTCTCCTAAGTGAGCTTACAAGGCGGAAAATGAACTTGTCCCCTTGAGCCAAAATTTGTCATCCTCTTCTCACCTCCAAGCCTTCCGCTGAAGCCGGCTGCTAGCAGGGAAGCTCTGGGCTTTTCAAGAGACGACAAACGAACGCCCAGGAGGGTCTGGGGGCCCGGGACCTCCAGGCCGAGCTCACACCCTGCAAACCGCAGCCCCGCTGCCCACACCCACGAAGACGCGTTCCCCACCCCGCTTCCTGCGCGCGGCTCCCGGGAGCGCTGCTCAAAGAGGAACCGAAAAGTTTCTGGCAAGTTCGAGCGGCGCGTGGGCGGCGGGGTCTCCCTCACCCTGCTCCCCGGGAGCCCCGCGAAGCCCGGGAGCAATGTTCACCTACCGTTGTGCTCGCCGTAGCCCCAGCTGAGCCGCGACATGGTCCGCGGAGGGAGCGCAGGCTGCTTAGGACGCTGCGGCCACCACGAGGAGGAAGCCGCGCGGGGGCGGGCGGCTGAGGGCGGGGACCGCGGGGCAGCCGGCTCGGGGCGAACCGCGAACCCCAGAGCCGGGCGCTGCAGACCGCGGCCTCCAGGGGGCAGGGCGAGCGGGGCCGCGCTTCTCGGGGCTGCGTCCGGGAGCTGCAGTCTCAGGAGCATGGGGACACCGGGAAGGTTTCCTGCGGAGCTCCCCCGCCTTGTGGGGAGCAATCACCCGGGACAGGAAGGCTGCCCGGGCGGCTTCCTGGGAACGCAGGGCGCAGGTTGAGAGCCTGGCGTCGGGGGCGCAGTGATTACAGATGCGCTCAGCTTGGCGGGGACGGGTGCAAACTGCCACTTAGGAATGAGAGCCACTGTTCATTATGGGCTTATCGGGGGGCTGGGGTCTTAGCCACGCTTGTTACGCTTTCACCCTGAGATCCTCTCTGTGTTCCCTTGGGAAAATATTACTCATGCCTCCTGATTAGGAGATAGGAAATAAGGCCTGAGAGAGCGTAACCTTGTCTGGGCCACAGAGCTGATGGAGAGAAGGGATGTGGCCCCAAAGGATCCAGGGCCTGGGCTAGCTCAGCTCTGCAGCCTCCGCTCGCCTAGCACACCAGACAGTGATGCTCAACCCCCAAATCCTGCTGCCCTCCTTCCTCCACAGGGAGAGACAGTTGGGTAACGATATAGATCCAAGAGACATAGATATAGATTCACTATGTGTTTTTATTTTATATGTATCAGATATATATATATATATATATATATATATATGTATATATATATATATAATCTTGAAAAGTTAAGCCAAAGCAAATCTACATAGATTCAAGAATTAGGAACATATCAATTCATTTTATGTATGGATAAAAGAAGTAATGGAAGCTCCACATTGTGTGATCCCGTTTCTCCCGGAGTTCTTGTTGAAGGTTAACTTTCTCAGGTTTTATAAATCCAAGCAACCTCTGCAGGAACCTAATAAGCCTGTTGTCATTAATACGTATAACGTAGCACATCAAGACGAATAGTGCTCTAAGTAAAGGCTAGTTGCTGGTACACAATAGCAGTTGTTGAATAAATGGATACATGAATGGACAAACCAAATTTGTTAAGTAGTTCTAACTAGCAGACTTAAAATTCTTCCCAAACCATTACATTTAGTTTTAAACTACACTGTTCCCTTTGGGTTGTTTTATTTTGTTTTGTTTTGTTTTGTTTTGTTTTGTTTTGTTTTGTTTTGTTTTGTTTTGCCGGAACAGGGGATTGAACTCAGACCCTTGCTTATACTTCTGAGCTGTCTCTCTGGTCCTTCTCCTTTGGTTTAAATGGGTGCAGTCTATCCACTTTCCTAAACTAGCAATTTAGGCAATCAATATAATTAAATTTCCACTCATAGGAGAGAGGCTAGATAATGTGTAGAGAATTGGTATAATGCATTACTATCCAGATAGAAAGAGAAGAATTACTGAGCCTGGGACAAAAACAAGCACAAAAACAAAACCAGTAAAGTTCACATTTGTTTGAGGAAAAAAGAAAGAAAACTTTGTACGTGCATTTGCAACTTTTAGGGGGGAGGGATGTGGTAAGCAGATCACAAATTAACAAAAATGGTTCCTTACAGGGACTGGGTAAGCATGAGATGGAGGGATTGGGGTGAAAGTGAAAACTCTCAAGGTGTCTTTTTGTGCTTTAATCATGAGTGTTTCACTTTTTTAACAAATTAAATCAGAGAAGATTTTTAAGCCTTAAAATTAAATTCAAAGAGCAGCAAAATTATTTGTACACTGAACTGATAATGTAGCCATAACGAAAAAATTAAGTAAGAATTAAACATTTAAGCGCCGGCCAAATAGCTCAGTGGACTAAAAATGCCTGCTTAGGAAGATGTGGCACTAAAAGAGTGATTGAAACTGGGCATGGTGGTGCATGCCTGTAATCCCAGCTCTTGGGAGGCTGAACACAGGCGAATCACTACAAGTCCAATCTACGTAGTGAGACCCTGTAGAGCCTGTAGACCCTAAACTACAATAAATAAATAAATAAATAAATAAATAAATAAAATTTTAACCTGACTATATAATCCATTGAAGAGTACATATTATATTAAGAACAGCATGATAATCTTGAGTTTTACTGGTTGTTTTTATAGAAATACTAGTGTTAAAGTAAAACATAATGTTTTGTTTATATTGTAAAATAGGATAAATGGGGAAATATACTGATGATCTCTAAAATTATGATGTTGATTCTTATTTATATAAAACTGCCAAATGACAGAAACTAAGAAAGAACCTTATGGTATTGAATTGAATATTCTGTTCACTGAAATATACAAACAGCAGTAACAATTCAATGTAAGGACGCTGAAACCTTAATCACAGCCCCATACTTAAAGGCCTTCTTGGAAGGCTCTGTACCCATTTTATATTTGCAATTTTGTATTTCTCCACAATTCCACAATTGTATTTGCTTCAGACACCACAAATTTGGGTGTGCTCCTCACTATGGGACACCCAGCACCAAGATTTTAATTTCTAAACACCATTTCCCACTAGAAGAAACCAGATCTGGGAAAAGTAACTGCTTTCAGATCTAAGGCAGGAGGAAATCAAGATGACTCTAGAACATATATATTTTTATGTCAGGAAGCTAAAAACTAACGGGGTTGTGAAGCACACGTTCACATGCATCTACATGAGCTAGTTTGAAGAAGGTATCACAGCCAAATTTGGAACAGTTTTACCATCAAGAAAGAAAAATGGGACCGGGGAGATAGCTTAGCAGTCTAAACAGCCTCCTGGCAAGTGCAAGGAGCCCAGTTTGATCCCCTGTACCATATGCCATGCTGGCCCCAGCTCCCCAGGCATACTGTGCCAGCGCTGGCCACCAAAACTGGGCATGGTAGTGCACATGTGTAAGCCCAGCACTTGGGAGGCTGAGACAGGAGGAACACTACAAGACTGAGCTGCGCAGCAAGACGCTGTGCCAAATACATCAATCAATCAATCAATCAATGATTTTAAAAAAAGAAAACCTAAATAAATAATTACTTTAAAAAAGAAAAGAAAAATGATTATCATATAGATTTTAACCTCCCATATCTAATATCCAAGTATTCACAATAATACTCAATGAGACAAAATGAGAGTGAGGCAGAGATAGAGGGGGCTTTATGGTAGCCACAAATATAAATCAAATATTTATTCATTCATTTAGTGATTTTTTTTTCTGGATGGGATCTTGCTATGAAGTTCAGGTTGGCCTTAAACTCTCCTCGTAGCCCAAGCTGGCCCTGAACTTCCAGCAGTCCTCTTGCCTTAGCCCCCTCCCCAGTGCTGGGACTACAGGCAGGTGCCACCACATCAGCATATAGATAAATTTATAGGTAAATTTTTTAAATAAATATTTTTGCAAAGTCATTGTATTATTTAACTCAAGCAAATATTGTATTATTTATGGGTGCTAAAACCCCCACATGAAACTGGTCATAGTGGTGCATGCCTATTATCCCAGCACTTGGGAGACTGAGGCAGAGTTCCAGGCCAGCCTGGGTGACATAGTAAGTTCAAGGCCAGTCTGAACTGTGTAGTGAGACCTCATCTCAAAACAAAACAAACAAACAACAAAAAGCACAAGAAACTCTCCTGGTGGAAGATTATTGATTAGTAAGATATTTATACTACCTACACTAAGCCTCAGTTAGATCCTACATTGCCAAAAAAAGTTAAAGTATTATTTTTTCAGGTAGTTGAGAATATTCAAATATAATTAGCAAGTAGTGGAATTATTAATTGATGCTAATCTTCTAGTATAATAATTGTACAGGGACTGTTATTAGAAATGGATGCTGCAGCAATCAGGTTACAGTACCCTGATGTGTAAAACTGAACTTCAAATGCTTCAGTCAAAATTGGTGAATGTAGCTGCAGAATATTTGGGAGAATATTCCTGTGAAAATAGTCTTATCATTTTTTTGTAGAATTGAATTTAACTCATAGAACATAATACATTTCTTGTCATAAAGGCTCATAAACATGAGTCTGTCAAATCCATGTTTAATCTTTAGAATATTTTTGATGAATTATTATTTTTAATTTTATGAGTTTTATTATATTAAAAATGAGTGCTTAACAGGCAAAAATCACCAAGACAAGTATTGCATTTCTAATTTTCCTTTTTGTATTTTAGGGAAGGGTCTACAGGGTGTTCAGGGTCTCACTAATAGATTGGACTCACAGTGATCTGCCTGTTTACAGTCTCCCAAGAGCTGGGATTACAGGTGCGTGCCACCATGCCCAGTTTCAATCACCATCTCAGTGCACCCCGGGGTGGGGCTAGCAAGGCAGGCCCGGGGATCGAGCCCCTGGCCCCTGTGCCTGCTTGCAAGCACTTTAATCTGCTAAGCTACTTCTGGCCCTGCATTTCTAATATTTATCAAACGTTTTATTACAAAGCATCAACATTTTCAACATCAGCTGGTTTTGGTGCACAAAGTCTAAAAAAGAACAACAGAAATGAACAACAATGAAAAATATCAATAAAATCCTTAATTGTCACATGTAAAGCAGGCTTCACACAAGAGAACAGCACATTCCATATGCACATGTCACTTGCACTGACAGCACATGCTCTTAGATTTCCTTTCCTATGTGGCAGGACATTCTGTCACCTCTTGTCTCTTCCCTGTTTTGTCAGGAATTTCCTACTACTTTGTATAATATGCACTTAGCAGGGAAAGGAGATATCAATAAAATAAAATATGAAATGTGTAATGAGAGCTTAGAATAGACATCAGTATTTTCACCACAGCTGTTTATTTGTTTATAAAACTAGGAAGATATCATCAGAAATCAAAACTTGTGTGAACTGCAATAAATACCAAATTCTACAATAAATACGGTTTTTGCTTCAATTGTCACACCCCAAGGCAGTCTTCACACATGAAAATTGAGTTTCATACACAAGTACCAGTTACACTAATACCATGTATAATTTATTTTCCTGTTCTTTCT